AACTTTCATACCTTTAATTTAAATTATTTGTGGTCCTTATGAGTGTTATAATGCTGATGAGCACTGAATTTCTTTAATGTTGATACTGCAGTATCCAAAAGTAAGCAAGCAAATCATCTTATCTTTAGCAGAAACAAGATAATACTGCAATTCCCAACACTCATTAAAAAATCTGTGTTCTTCCTTCAGTGTTCTCTTGGTCTCCTTTGACACGATGGGCTGTTAAGCAGACAGAGCTGAAAACTACTGTCGAGCTGTTCAACTATTCACAAATTCCACTTCACACAGACACACAGTGCACTATTGTCAAAAGCTGGTAACAGACCGGCGTACTCGACCCCAGTAATCTCTCGCCAACCAGCCTTGCGCAGTAGTGGCGCCAGACAGGCGGGGGACGTCGGAACTAAATCATGAGCGTGGCAGCTGCCAATTTAGCCCTCATGGCTTACTGACGTTCTAATCGTGCCGGTGGATCTGGGAGGATTATTTTCATTGAAACTTATTTTAGTCTCTGGTATTTTAAATGCATCTATTTTAAAAATAAGATAAAAATATAACACACAAAAACAAACGTACTAATAAAAATAAAGGGATTTGTTCTGTAAAGTTTGGGTTCGGTCAAAAGGCTGCACTGAAGGACGTAGAAGGTCGCAGGTTCCCACCCCCGCGTCCCGGGGGACGCGACCGGGACATCCGATGGCCTCTCGCTTAGGCTCTGACTCCACCCCACGCTCAGGGGCCTCTGGTCTCCACGGCCACTGTGGCTGGAGACCCTCCCGGGCCCCGCGTGTCCCCAGCTCTCCTCCCTGCTGGCTGTCCCACCCCCAGCAGCACTGCGTCTGCCCAGAACCTCACCGGTGGGCCTGCAGGTATGTGACAAGCACGGCAAAGGCAGGTCCCCGGCGCACCTGTGGCTCGCAACGTGGCCACGCGGGAGGCATCATGGCTGCTGCCGGCTGACAGGCAGAGGCTGCACGACCCCCCCCGACCCCCCCCCCCCCCCGCCTCCCACTTCTCTTACGGGCAAGTCTGCTCGGGTGGTTTCTTTGGCTGTGCTACACCAGGTCATCTCCGGGGTCACACGTGCACCTACTGAACTGGGGAGTTCAGTAGCATCTGGGGAGTCAGGCAGGAAACAGACACCTTCGCACGCAGCCGGAGACCCGGGCCAGGTTGGGCCGTCACTGCCGACACCTCCCTGCCCGTAGACGAGGCCCGAGTCTGCGTTCAACACCCATGTTCCTCTGAGCACCCTCAAAGCAGCTGGGCAACAGCTGTTGAAAGTGGCAGCACCCCCTTCGACAGGTGGCGTGGGAGTCGGAGCAGGAAATGAAGCCGTGTTCTCACGTGTCCACGCAGTATCTCAACGTGCCTGCCGGGCTTACCGTGACGACTGTCAGGCTGCGCACAGCCCCGACCTCTGGGAAGCACATGGCGCACGGCAAACTCACGCCTTTCACAGGGCAGATGCACGGTCACAGGCCCACAGACATTTCGACGGACTTTCTGGATCAACGTTTTAGCTACGGGATCCTGTCCTGCAGCACGGCTCTGCCCGGAAGCCCAGTAAGTCGCAGAGAAGACAGCGGGGGGCAGGGAGCCGGGCCAGGCGTGAGCTCGGCGTCCACACCCCTGCTGCGAAACCCTGGGGCTCTTTGGAGAAGTATCTGAAAACCACGTCTGCCCCACCCCGCACCAGAGAGACAGAAAGATTCCCTCCCTGTGACGGGGAGCTTACTACCACCAAGACACTCCATCTGGTCAGCAGGTCCCTTTGCTCACTTCTTAAACCTTCCTTATTCCCGTTTGTGAGCCCTGGCGCTGGGCCCACCACGGGGCCGGGCAGGAGGACCTGCAGCTCTGTGTTTTCTGGGACGACGGAGGATTAGAAGGCAGCCCTCGCTCGGACACGCCCATGGGGGGCTTTGCCTGTGCTCTGCCTGCCTGGCAACAGTTGACTAGGTGATTTGCTTCCAAACTTTTGAGCTTTTCCTTGTGGAGACTGTAATTTTCCTTTGAGAGAAATATGGCTTTCTTAATTTCAATAAAATGAAAACACTTTCAAGATATCATAAATTAGATTTCGAAATGCATCGAAGCTCCACCAATCTATCAGGGATGTGTGTGCGCTGCAATCTATTCATTTCCCGTAAATTCTGTTTTGAGGTATTTCCATTTGGCTTAAAAGGTTTAATTCCACTACCTGTCCTCACATGTGTGACTGGGGAGATCGCTCAATGCCGTGGGATTTCTAGTGAATCAAACTCCACGCTGCACTCCAGAGTTCAGAGCTGGAAGAATTTTAAACACGTTTAGAAAACCAGAATCATCGACATCAGGCTTGGTATGGAATGAGGCAATTAAAGTCAGGAAAAAAGATGCCATTAGCTTTTCACAACTGTCTCAACCCGTGCCCTTTTCTCTCATGTTCCCTACCCCAAATCTGCTCCAAATACATAAACTTCCCTTCCCTCTGCCAGACTGGAGACTGTTGGGCTGCGTGAGCCGGAACCTGTGCAGACCCCGAGAGAGCCCGTGGGCACGACCTGCATCCGTGCAAAGGCCGGAGCGGTCCTGTCTTTGGACACGGAAAACAGACACGTGGAGACCTCAGGGCTGTGAGCACTGGTCGCGAACACCTGGCCGGCCGAGGAGACACGGAGGCTGAGGGAGGACAGGCCACGGCAGGAGCCTCTCTGGGCAGACCCACCGGTGGTGGGGCGAGTGGCCGAGGGTGTGATCACCACGCTCCCGCTGCGGGGCCGGCCGGCTGCATGGGAGGGTCCAGGCGCAGGACGGCGGAGGACGGGTGCGTGGGTGGGAGCATGTGCCTCATGCCGGCCTCCCCCCCCCCCCCCCCCGGCTGCCCCCAACCCCCCCCGCGGCCCCCCCCCCCCCCCCCGTGAGAGCTCACGACATCCAGCTTCTTATCTGTCATCCAGGGACCCTCACACAGACACTGTGACTGCTCCCCTCTGGCAACAGGGAAACTGAGTCACGGGCGAGCGCAGGGCCTGGGAGAGGCGAAGGTGCAAGCGGTAAAGGACGAGAGTCTTGCAGACCCGGGGAAGGGCCAGCAGGGTTGAGTGGACAGACGCCAGACCCCTGACCGTGGGGACGGTGCCTGGGAGCGCAGGTGCGGAGGGGAGGGCAGAGCTCGCACCTGGGCAGGGCGGGGGGAACGGGGACACACGACTTCCCGACCCCGGCTGCTCCACGGGGCGCAGGCGCGGCTCCAAGCCACGCAGCGTTAGGGTCAGGGTTTGCGCTATGACAGCACCTGCCCTTCCCGAGACTCAGCAGCAAAGCCTGGAGGGGCCCGTAGGAGCCAAGCGGGGCTGAGCTGCCAGGTCAGCCGGCCCAGCCCCTGCTCGCCCGCCTCTTTTCCAGAACGGCTGCGTCCGGGCTTCCGCGAGGAAGACGGTCTCGGGTGCCGGGCCCCACGCTCGCCGCCCCCAAAGCAATCCCCACGGCAGCTGCCTCACCCCTCGGGGCAGAGCCGGCTCCAGGTCATGGGACGCACCACGGCCGCTCCCACGTGGCCCAACTGTGCCGCAGGAAGGGAAAGACTCGCACAGCAGGGCCCCTCTGACGGGCCCCTCGGCGGCTGTGACCGGCCCGGACCTGCCCCGGTCCCCGGACACCACGTGCACCCCACAGGGACGACTCAGAGCCAAACACCCTCCCACCCGACCGGCGCGGAAGGGGCAGGGCGGGCAGCGCACGCCACCCCCACCACGCCCAGCACGCCCAGCACACGGGCGCCGGTCACAGCCACCCACCACCGACGCCAACCCTCCCTCCACTCCGCCTCTCTGCCTCTGGTCTCTGCCCCGTCCACGGGCCGCGGACCCTGCCCGGGAGCCCCACAGACTCGCGGCTTCCTTCTCACTCTTTGCTAAAGGGCCGCTAAAGGCGCAGCAAGCTACGGCGGGGGGCAGAGACCGGGGCATGGCCCGCCGTCAAGTGCCCCCCGAATCCGGCCGAGCCCGCAAGGCTCCAGGAGCCCCCAGAACGGGAGTCTCTGCCAGCACCCTCAAGGCCGCCCAGGCGGGGACCTCTCTGCAGGGCCGGAGCCCGGTTTGGGAAGCCCCGCCAATCGACCAGGTTCTTGTTCCAAGAGACCAGGACGCAGGGCTGGCGCGCCGGAGACGTCCCCGAAGCACAGCTGATCTTCGAGTGGCTGCGCGAGGACGTCTCCGCTGGGCAGCGGGGACTCTCGTACACAAGCACTCCCTAACAGTTAATTATCGCTAATGGCGAGGGCTGTGAGATCTGGAATTCCAGGCGTGAGAGCACAGATTGGTTTCGGTCCACGCTGACTTACGAGTGGCAACGTGCCACTCCTGGGAGGGGACTCGCGCCCGCCGTTCCGTGTACGACCATTAGACCCCCACGAGGCGGGGAGCGCGGCCCTCGCGGGGGTGGGAGGCGGGTCCACGGGCTGCAAGCGCTGACGGAGGGTTAGGACGGCACGCCTTTTCATACCAAAGGCGGGGGAGGGGAGGGGTGTCATAGGTTTTAAATGACAGAAGCACTTGTCCCTTTATATCGCCTTTCCCCCAAATATGTCTTTAAACAGCAGAGATAAAAAAGGATGCCCCACTGCATCCCAGAAGGAGACAATAATTTCCCGTTGCACCAATAATTACCCATTTTCACAAATTTAGCGATTAGGGGACGCATGAAGGGACTATGTTCTCTGAAGGCCTCTCTGTTTTTCCGGTCCACACCTGCTTTTCCTTGAAGAGCCAGCAAGTCCTGATTGCAAAGGCAACCTAAAGCATCGCCAAGTTTGCCAGGCGCCACGGACGAGCATTTGCAGCCAGGGGGGAGGCCCAGCCCCGCCCCAGCCGGCTGCTCTCCCCAGACGTCAACTCGAAGCCGCTTCACAGCCGAACCGACCCGTGCACATGGTCTGGCCGTGGCTCTCACGGCCTCCCCAGGAACAGGACAGACGCCGCGGACCGCAGGCCGCAGGGCCCCCTCGAGGTACTCACCGACCCGACTCCGGACTGAAGAATCTTCAGGCCGGCGGCTCCCTCCAGTTTGTCCTTGTTGTCAGCTGTCGGGAAAAACAGAGAAGTACAGGTCAGCGTGGGGAGCCCGGCCGACGCGAGACACACCCGGCACCTGCCTCCTGAGACCTTCGGCCACACCGCCGCCCGGCCGCCCACCGCGGCAGTGCTGGGGGTCAGTGGGCCCCTGCGCGTGGCCCCGCGACCCGCCGGCCCCCCGGGGTGGGCACAGCTGTGGCTCGGGGTCGGCTGTGGGGTGACGTCCCGGCGGGGAGCCCGCAGAATCGCCGTGAGGACCTGAAGGGGAACTGCGTGGAGACCTGCTCTGTGGGTCTGACCTGGAGAGATTTTATTCTGATTTTATTCTGAAATCATGGAACAGTTAGTTGTCAATCATGTAATTGTCGGGAAACGAGTTTCGCTAGCGTCAGGGACGCCGCAGGCGGTGCCTAGCACCTGTTCCCGCCACTCCGTCCCGTCTTGCTCACACCCCGAGAGAAACAGGCCGAGATAATTCAGCAACCATCGAAGCCTCATCCATCGCGGCTCGCTCCTGAGCCAGGGTGAGGACGGCTTTCGGAGGAGGAATGCCACCCAACGTCACCTTGGCAGAGGGGGCTTCGGGACGGGTGGCAGGTGCAAACGGGACCCGGGGATTCCGCCCCACCCCCGCAGGAAGCCCCAAGCTCGGGGAGGAGGAAGGTGCCACGAGGCAACGGACCCTCGCTTACAATCCTGCAGGAACGTCTTCCTGGAGAGCCCCGCCAAGTGGAAACGGAAACCAGAAAGAACACCCCTTTATTGCAGACCCCACGAGCAAAGAGCGAGTCGCGGTTGTGACTGATTGCGAACGAGGCGGCCAGAGAACACAACCACTTTCCCCTCTGGCTGTGACACCTACGTCAGTCTTGGGTAACAGCATTGCGTCTCCCGGAGGCACACGGACCAGGCCCTGCAGCCCCACGCCAGGGCCTCTCCCTGTCTGGGGGAAGTTTCTCCGTCTGGATGAAGAACGTCTCTCACACGCGTGATCGCACGTGCCCGGAAGGACCAAGCCAGACACACGGTGACACGGGTGAGAGCAAAGTACCTCCCGCCTAGGGTGGCTGGCCCAGGAGGGCAGGGCGGCACAGGGGTGGACCCCGGCAGGCAGGGGCGAGCTCTTCAAAGAGACGGAGCACAAAGGACCGATGTCGACATCCCGCGGACACAGGGAGCGTGGTGCCGAGCCCAGCTTTCTGGGGTGGGGCGAGAGGGCTCTCGCAAGCAGGTGGAGGGACAGAGGGCACACCTGTCCTTCTAAAATACTCCACTTACTGCTCCCGGGGGGGAACAGATCCCAGGGGCAGGAATGAGAGGCGGCCCGACCAACAGTGGGTAGAATGACCCATTGGGGTCAGCAAACCTCCACAGAAGCCCTACGGGGAAGGTCTCAGCTCTGCAGCCCGAGGGCCTCCGCGGCCGGCCCCGGCCTGGGGGGCGAAGGCAGCACAGACAGGCCTTGCGCATGGTCCTGCTTGTTCCCGATACGACTCCCTTGCGCAGCAGAGGGGGGCCCGCCGTGACTGCACGCTGCGTTCGATCCTGTCCCAGCCCTGCCTGCATGCCACTTGCTGTGTGCCCAGAGCTGAGGTCTCAGCATGTCCCATTTCCCTGATTCAGAATTGCACACCACCCGCACGCTGTCTCACGTCTGGAGTCAAGCGTGTCTTAGCGTGTTGTGCGTGAATGCGGCGGCGATTCCCAGGATTTCCACCCCGCGGGCCATGCAAGGCGCCGTCCAGCCACCTGAGGCAGAACGGGTCCTTGACTCCCCCGGTGACTCCCCGCAGGCCCGGCAGGCGCCAATGTGGCCAGGATGCGGCCCACAAGCCCCAAGTCGACAGGTGACCCAGTGGTGTAGGCGGGGCCTGGTGCATGATGGCTGGGAGCCCTCCCACGGTGACGATGACGAGTGGGTCCTCACAATACTAGTTCACAACAGCTGCTGGTCAGAGCAGCCTGGCCGCCCCTCGCTCCTCTCTCCACGGATGCACCTGCGCCTGAACTTCCCGCCGCGATCGGAAGCTCCCTGAGGCCGGCGCCAGGAGCAGGCGCAGGCGGCAAGCTCGGGTACACCCTGCAGAAGCCCGCACACACACACCTGTCTCCGTGACCACCGGCCAGGCGTCCCCGTACAGCAGCACAACACGCACCGGGGCCCAGCCCGGAGTGGGTGGGCACCGCCACCGGGTGGGCTGTGACGGGCAGGGTGACGTGGGGCGTCTGCACCACCAGCCCGCGGTGGGGGGCCTGGTGAACGCCGTCCCGGTGGGGGACCCGGAGCAGGGCCTCCCATGGGAAATGCTTTAACCCTTCGAGTGCTGCGTTTCCTCTGACGTGGGCACACGAGCGGTTTTGGGCGGATGAGTCTGATTCACTCCGTAAACACAAGGTCAGTACCAGCCGCCACACGGCACCTGCTGGGGTCTGACGGCGCCATCGCTGCTCGCTCTGCGCCACACCCTGAGCCCTAGTGGGGTGCGGCCCGGCCCCGTGAGCTCCTGGCGGACGCGTCTCCCTAGCCGGCAGGGAGACCTCGGGCAGTCGGGCTGTGAGTTTTGTCTCCCGGGGTCTAAACCGCGCCTGCTGCTGAGACGTCCGTGTTCCTGGCGCCTCTGCCTCCCTGAGGGAGCCCCTCAAACCCGCCCCGGCCTTTCTCAGCTCCCGTCTGGCCGGCTCAAGGCCACGGCAACTGCGGGGAACAACCCGAATTCGCGCTGCTTCTGAAGCACTAACGGGTTTTAAAAGGGTGCAGGGGACCGACCCACCCTCGAACTCATCTAAGACCAAAGGGGAAGTCGAGATCTAAATGTTAACATAAATATCTTTAAAAAATGAAGCTGGGGCCTGCTAAATACTTGCTGTGCGGCAGTGCTGAGGCCAGCTCTGCTCTACGTGGCCTTATCTAAGCCTCAGAGCCCCACAGAACGTAGGCTCAGAATGGGGAAACTGAGGAAACACAGCGAGCGGCAGTGTCGAGTCGGAGGCCGGTCTGTCCCTGCCCGAGCTCCACCTGTTCTGCCCGGCACCAATTTCCCGACAGGTGTGTCCACTCAGGGGACAGGACTGAGACTCACCCTGCTGGTCGGGGCTGGGAGAGGACCACCCCACCCTCTCTCGGCTGGTCCTGAGTCCTGGTGTGGCAGGCCAGGCAGCCCCACGTCCAGGGCAGAAAGGGAGGGAGCAGCGATCTCAAGCTACCCTCCCAAGAGGAATCCCTGGACGCACCGTGGAGCTGTGTGGAGGGGGAGGGGCTGCCAGGTGAGGGGGCGGGGCTGGCAGGGGAGGAGGAGGGGCTGCCAGGTGAGGGGGCGGGGCCTGGCAAGGGGGGAAGAGGGGCTGCCAGGGGAGGGGGCGGGGCTGCAAGGGAGGATGAGGGGCTGCCCAGGGTGAGGGGGGGGGCTGGCCAGGGGAGGAGGAGGGGCCTTCCCAGGTGAGGGGGGCGGGCTTGGAGTAGGAGGAGAGGGGCTGCCAGGGGAGGGGGCCGGGCTGGCCTGGGGTAGGAGAGGGGCCAATGGCCAGGGAAGGGGGCAGGCTGGCAGGGGAGGAGGAGGGGCTGCCAGGGGAGGGGGCGGGGCTGGCAGGGGAGGAGGAGGGGCTGCCAGGGGAGGGGGCGGGGCCAGGGGAATCACCTGGCTGGACCTCAAGGGAGCCCCTCATCCACCCACTGGGAAGTGGTTTCCTCCACGAGTCCCTCTCGGGCTCTGGGTCCGTTTCCCACGTGTGTGGACTGGACTCTGCTCTCCACAGCCGCACACGCTCTGTTGCCCCTGCAGGCCCAGCCCAGGCTGGCGGGAAGCCCCGGGGACCCAGTGACACCCTGTCCCATGCCCCTCTCTGCACTCCTGTCCTGGCTTTCCTGTCCTTGCTCTCCTGTGTTCCCTGGACTGTACCTCCCACCCCCATCTCTGCAAGGAGCCACCTGTGTGCCCCAGCCTGTCCCTGGGGGTGTGCTTAGTGACCGCATTGTTTGTTTTGTTGATTAACCTTTTGTTTCACCCTTAGAATGACACATCTTGAGCTGCTGTTTCCAAAGTTTTGCACAGACAGGAAACCCAACCTCCCTTAGAATGACACATCTTGAGCTGCTGTTTCCAAAGTTTTGCACAGACAGGAAACCCAACCTCCCTTTTGCACCACGTGTGTCCATGTAAACCACGGTTCCCAAGACAGTCACGGGGCCTGCTTACCAGTCTGTGGTCTGGAGCATGATGCCTCAGTTTCCCCTTAGGGAAACGGTCGCTCCCGATGCTTGTTCTCACTACTTTTTGCACGGTAAGATTTCTCTTTGGAGGAGATGAACAGAGGCTGTGCGGGTTTGCCTTTTCCTGGCGTGGAGTAAACGCTGTGCATTTTCCCCAGCACAGCCCCCCTGGGGGTGGTCTTCCTTTTCCCTTCCCTCCCTCCCTCCCTCCCTCCCTCTCTGTAACATTCCTAGAAGAAAAACCATAGCTAGGTGTCTTCAGCATTATTTGTGAGTCTCAGCCCATCCCGACATCCTTCCCAATGTTACTCCTACACATTGTTGTTCCAGAATATTTCCTCCAAGTTCCCTAAGCGTCCACGTGGGTTTCTTTCTGTGCACCCCTGTCCGGGCGCAGTGATGTCTACTGCACCCTGAGTCTGATGCCTGAGCCGGGGCTCAGGGCATGTCTCCCCTCCAGGTCTGACCGTGGGCTCACCCAAGCTCTTTCTGGGAACGATATTCAGGGTCAGAGTGAACAACTGACGACGCCACCACTTCCACTCCCGAGTGTGGACTCCACGCTGCCCCTTCCAGGTCTTTGCTGGGGCATTTCTCGGTGGGGGGAGGGAGGGCTTGCGTCCGCAAGCCGGGTGCTCAGATGTCAGCTCTGAGTATTTTTTTCAAGCCAAGTCCAGACTCAGAGTCGAGTTGGTGTGTGTGAGTGTGCGTGCGTGCGTGCGGGCAGCCGGGTGGGGAGACACAGTCACGGAGTCAAAGAGCAACACACAAAGCCCATTTTTATCTTCACGGGAGACAAAA